GAAAAAGGTTGGGCGGAGAGAAAGTAATTGGTGACAGTTTGGAGAAATGGTTGAATCTTTTAATTGCTCTACAGACTATATACTTTCTTAAAGGTTGGAGGATTCCTATAAGGGAACCTAATTTTGAATCAGAGTTAATTATGTCTTCATGGTGGACTCTTTAAATAGTCTTTGGTTTGAAAATTTTATTATACTTTTTACTTACTCAGCCTTGATTTCAGATTCAACTCTGTTGGCTTTCATTGTCTTAGACATTTATGATGTTACTTCAGTTACAGACAGTTCAAGGGCTGTCAGTGTAACATTCCCCTTCAACACATTCTGTTTCAGGTATCAGATTTAACCACTCTTTTCTAAAAGGTTGGTATATGTCATAATATGCCTCATTGCACTTTGATGCTATTGACTTGGATTGACAAGAGTCTGGAAGAACCCGTATCATTGTCTAGAGCCCCCAGTGCAGTACAGTAAGATAATTACTTGCTCATTATAAAATATTAAAGCAGTGGACATAGATGAAAGTCTTGCAGTTTGTAGTTGCACCCTTGAAATTTTGCTGTTTTGCTGTTAGTGGAGTTTTTTGTGGGTTCTTCTCTGTACTGTCAGGACAGTCTCTTCAATATGAAGCCTCAAAGCCTTCGCTGTCTTCACATGTACAGTACAATAGCTCACATGAACTAATGATTACAAATACCCAAGCTAGGTGAACTGTTAGAACAAGCTATTCGGTAAGCATAGACTTTTTCCTGTCACTAGTAACCCACAGACTTTGTCTCCTGGAATACTTTGTCCTTTATTCAGATGATATTACAAACTGTGCTGTGAAATACACTTAGCTTCAGGCTTACAGGAATTACAACTTTAAATATTTGCTAGTCTTATTTTCTGTTTGGTTATGCCATTTATGTGGTGTTTATGTGTGTTGAGTAACTGAAGATCCACAAAGAGATATGTCTGTGCAATCATTGCTAGAGTGGATAATGTGCAAGTGCTTTTTAACAGGGCTGATATATTCTTTTTGCAAACAAACATTCACTTGTACAGATGTTTGTAAAAGGTGACTTAGAATCAAATGGATTTAGACCTTCACTGAAAGAAGTTTGGCCAGATATCTGTTAAAAATCTCCAGTCATTGAAATTCTGCACCTTGACTAGGCAACCTGTTTCAGTGTGCTTCCTAATATTGAACTTAAACTTTCTTTAGTGCAAATTAAGATGATTTCCCTCACCCTCCCCACCATTGCCTTAGAGGACAGTTGAACATCCACTACTTAGAACAATGTTTTGCATATTTTCATACTTCTGCAGTGTCCATCCCCATTCACCTTCTCCTTCCTGACACTCCGTTTAGTCCAATGTATAATGACAGTGAAATATTTCACACTGTCCTCAGCAATGAAGAATGCCTTCTGGCCCCAGGTCTATAGGCACTGCCATCACACTGAAATGTAGTCTACACAAAAATACTATTAAATTCACACAGCTTTGTCAGATTCTGCAGGCTCATGTTCCCCTGGGGGTACTGCAACCCCCTGAGGATTGCAGCTAAATGTGTTGGCCCAGTGGACCAGCCTTAGGCTGGAGCAGACAGTTCCAGTGTTATACTCTTTCCTCTGTCCCAAAGCACAAGGCTGCGTAAAGTTTCGGTGCAGAAGCAAGTGCCTTTTCACACCAGATATATGTCTGAATAAAGTATTTTTAACAATATAGAATGAAATTAATTTAGCTAAGCATTTCTAGTGAAAAAAGGTGTTCTGAGTAAAAAACATCCTACTTACTGGATGAATCAAAGGTCCTCTTGGTGCTTGTATCAGTAGTTTGGAGGAGTGGGGAGTTTTTAAACTCTGCAGAAGCTCTTTGCATGAAGAGAAATTTTACCCTTATTATAGATTCATCCCATTCCATTCAGGATAAGGGTAGTGTTAGCTTTTAGACGAGCTGAGAAACTCTGCTAGCCTTTGACTAACTGTTGGCTGCTTTAGCCCTTATGGCTGATTCCAACTGAGTTATTGGAAGGAAGATGTTGAGACATTTGCAGTCTCTTCAGGATATGTGCACACTGTGTCTTGTCGGCAGACGCATGCAGCCTGTACGCAAGAACTGAACCAACTAAAATGTGTATATTCATATTAGTGCAGAATCAAGCTGAGCTAATTAATTTTGCTACTAGGAGGGATACAATAGTTCAGGCTGAGCTTCTTGGCTACAGAGCCACTACAGGAGCTGCAAAGAATCTGTATCAGCATATTTAGATCCTGCAGATACTTACTGACTTTCACTAAATAGAGTGGACTATCCATGCAAACTGTTTGTGTTATGCAGAGGGCTTTGGAAACACGTACAATCAAGGCAGTGGTCCTCTATTAGTGCCCACAGTTCAGTGTGCATAGCAGTTGAAAACCAACATTGTTCCTTAGGCTTGTCTCAACACTTTAATAATTTACTTCAGAAACCAGGATTTTCTTAAGTTCTCAGCAGTCACAAACCTGAAGAAATTATCTGGATGCCATGTGGACTCAGAATTCCATCACAGCTGACTTAAATATAAAAAAGGGTCTGGTGTCCTTGGTCCACAAAGGACAAAATTCAGTGAAATCATCTGCTGAGCAACAAAAACATTTTCCAGTGCAACAGTGACTCTTTGTTGTCTAATACAAACAAAACTTCACAGATAAATGCAGCACACCACTCCAGTTAGGTTATTGGTTAAGACTATCACTACTGTACTTATTCAGTTTTATGAGGTATGTATTTAGCAGTCCAAATGATATAGTCTTTTTCCAGGTACTGAGTTTGTTCCTTACTCGTTACGAGTGAAATTTCCAGATAATGCAATCAACTCCCTTTCTGCTTATCTTGGGATAAGAAGTATCTATTGTTGATGTCACACCTCAGGATTTAAAAATATCTCTTAGGTCTCTACTTCCAGCTGCTTGCAGGAGAAATGTTGGAGAGAAGGCTCCCTCTAAATAAGAAACTGTCAGTACCAACCCGTATTTCAGAGGACATACTTTCCAAACCTAGGGCCCTACAAAACTGGGGTACTTTGACTCCATCTTCTTTCACTCTGCACTTCTAATGCTGTGACTGGATCATAAAAACACTTTGTTCTAGGGAAACCCCCAAGTCTAGCAGGTCTGTTAACAAATGCAACTTAAACCTTCTTACTGTAAGCTACATCCATGTTCTTACACTTATCTGAGGTAGATGCTCAGCCTGTATAGCAACATCCCATCTTCCAAAAGTTGCCCCCATATCTCAGCATTTTCTTCCAGTCAGAACAGACAACATGGATCACTTTCTACCCTTCCAGTGAAAATGCAGTTTGGCTTTAAGGTAGTACTGTTTGGTGCTGTTAAGATTTTGACCCCTGTCTCTTATCCCACTGTCTGGTTAGGAAATTCTTTGCATGGTAGGTTTTGACAATTCCTTTCTTCCCAGGTGGCATGGTACAAAAGTTAAAATGTCTTGGCTTTGCACAACCTTACATATAGCACTTGTTAAAATAATTGGCTTGTGTGATACATGTAATCTTATGAAATACATGCTCTTTAGGGTGTCATTACCTCATGACAGAGACCACACATGACATTAATACTCTGATGACAATTGCAGTAATAAATTGCTTGACCTGCCCAGTCTGTACCCCTTTCTCATTGTTTGCTGTCAGTTATAGAGGTGCCATGTATCACAGCTTGTACAAAATCCTATATGAATAGATTTCTAAATATATTGCCAGTGGGTATTGCTGTCTGCAGATTACAAGCATTCCTGCTGGAGCTTTGTGCATGGATGCTTGGGCATGGTGGAATTCTGTGTCATGATTTGATCTAAGTAAGAGTTTTCTAGTGTTACCTTCAAATTTTTAGCATGTATACTTTTAGGAAACATAAGAATATATATCATTAATCAATATGTATTCTCTGGTTCTCACTGCATTTCTGAACTACCCTGGCTCTGTTTTACTTCCTTAGTTTTACTTCCTTATTAATTCTGATACACGTTTTTCTTCCAGAAGCAATTCCATTATCAATGACTTACATTCTCTAAATGCTTAGTAGTTCTCCTAGTATCTCACCTAATAAGATAGCTGTGTCCTACCAATTGATAGATAATGGCTGGCCATGATTATTTCAGCCTTAGAGTCTGAAAATTAGATCCAGCAGAGAGAACATTGTTCCTTAAAGCAAAATGAGATATAGCATTTCAGGTATGATGGGTCTTTTAATCTCATTTTACTGTTAATAATATAGGATGTTTAGATACACAATATTTTTATAAATTTGGAGGTAACAGGAATTGTAAGATGGGCCTTCACTCCTACATAAAATTTGGGTGAATCCCTTGCAGTCTTATCTGTTTAAGGACTTCTGCTAGGTGTTTTGGGGAGCAGTTAGGCTGTCTGTCTCTACCACAAAGATATCATCTTCCTTAATTGTAATTGTGATGTATTTTATGTAACATCTGTGATACTGTGCACAGGAAAACCGTGCTGAACAGATGCAGAAATGAATTATTAATTAATTGTCTTGCAACAATCTAGCTGTTCACTAAATACTCCAGCCAGTACTTCCCATCACCATTCCTTTCATCTCCTTGGTTCTTCCTTTCCTCAGCCTTCTAATTTCTTACAATCACTCATTCTGTGTTGATTGAAATTACAGTTAATTCTTTGGGGACTGAAGTCTCTCAGTGTTTCTATAATAATCTTAGCAATTAATAATAAGAAGAAGACTGATTACAATTTTTCTGGATGGGAAGGGGAGACCAAGAGAGAGAAACAGGATAAGAAAAGGAGGTCTTGGTCTGATTAGTTTCTGAACATTTGCTGTGAAAATGGACTTGCTCTGCAAAGCAAGTCAAGGGAAATGATGTTATAGAGGGTTCCTACAGCCATTTGTTGTTTAGTTAATTAGAACTGGTTTTCCTTCATCTAGTTCACCACCACTCTCCTACTTACTTGCCAGTCTTTCAGCAGGTTTTGTTTGGGTTTTTTGCAGATCAGAATTAGCTTCCTGCTGTGATGCAGTTCACAATTTTATTGCTTCTCAAAACAACACCCCACTGGGAAGTAACATGAGTTATGAAGTGGACAGTAAAAAGACCATCCTCATTACAGAGGACATTTTTAAGATGCTGCCTGTGGTAAGAACTGTATCATTATCTGTTATTATAATTGCAGTATCATAAATATTTTGGGTTAGTAATAGAGCTGCTTTGTTTTTCTTCCTCTGGAAGAGACCCTTCACCCCCTGTATGCACTTCTTCATTCACCCTGTAAGACCTTTTTTTTAGGCTTCCTCTGCAGTGGTGGAGGCATGGACAGGGTATCATAGATCAGATTGTAGGTAGAGCTACAGAACACAAGTTGCAGCCTGGCTTGGCAGCCAGCTGAGTTCAGGAATAAATTGTCTGAGAATGTTTGCCTTGCTTTTCTCATTCCCATTTTCAAAGGCATTTCAGTCTGGAACAACATTTCATTTTTCTTGTATTCCCATGCCATTTCCAGTGCAGGCTTGGGCATAAAACTTAGGAAAGCTATTTTGGTGATAAACCTGGTACTAAGTAGCATAGCATAGCATAGCATAGAATAGAATAATTTTAGTTGGAAGGGACCTACAACAATCATCTAGTCCAACTGCCTGACCAATTCAGGGCTGACCAAGTTAAAGCATGTTGTTAAGGGCATTGACCAAAAGTCTCTTAAACACTGACAGGCTTAGGGCAATGACCATCTCTCTAGAAACCCTGTTCCAGCGTTTGACCACCCTCTCAGTAAATAAATGTTCCCTAATGTCCAGCCTAAACCTCCCCAGGTGCAGCTTTGAACCATTCCCACACGTCCTGTCACTGGATACCAGGCAGAAGAGCTCAGCACCCCCGTCTCCACCTCCCCTCCTCAGGAAGCTGTAGAGAGCAGTGAGGTCGCCCCTCAGCCTCCTTTTCTCCAAACTAGACAAGCCCAAAGTCCTTAACTGCTCCGCATAGGACGTTCCTTCCAGCCCTTTCACCAGCTTTGTTGCCCACTGGGGTGGGGCCTTTGCAGCCAGAAACACAGGTTGAACAAAGGAATCAGACTTTGTAGCTCAGGACTTACGATAAGTATACAAGCTCTGGAGACCAGACAAAGAGGGACACAGAGATATACTTAATTTCTGAAATGTAATACCACGTGTAAACCCTCTTATCCTTCTCTGGCGTTCTTGAGTTGTAAGATCCCAGCTACCGTGCTGGTGTGGATCACTAAAAACTGCATTGCAGTAGAGGTTACAGTGGTTCCAAATTTAAACTGAACGGAAGAAAAAAAGTAGTATGTTTTATGTACATATGTACTTGCTAAGCTTGCCAGAGTTGCCTGGCCTTTGTGTTCTCCTACTGTCTTTTTTGGAATTGAACAAAATATTTGAACGTACTGTTTTGTAATATATTGCCAGGCAATGTGATATCTGCCACTTTCCTCACACTCTTTATAACAGTGTCCCTTCCTGCTTCTGTTTGGGAGAGCTGATGGGAGAATGAGGAAGGATAACACTTTGTGTAAGCAGGTTTTGAGTCTATTTTACAAGTGGGTTCAGTTTCTGCAGTTGAAGTAGCCCAGCTATTGGTCTCTCTGTTGAATGTCAGTGCTCCCACAGCAGGAAAGACTGAACAAGATGAGATGTTTCTGGGACACTGCAATAACAGCCAACTATATTAATGTCAACTGAAATAGCCAAGAATTTACATTAATTTGCTAGGTTGTGATCTGTGCTGGTTCACAAGTGGATGCACTTAGCTCCCATTCACCTGCCCCACTGCAAGACAGCAACCTCTAACAAGAAAAGTAGAGAGGGTAAACAGCCAGAAACAGTGACCTCTTCAGTTAGCTGTCACATTCACCATGAGTTAAGACAGGGTACATGATTATTCTTTACAGCATCTTCAGGTTTCCCTAAATTCGTTATTTTACATCAAATGTAATTGTATGATGGCAAAGTAATGAGCATTTACAAAGTTACATTCTATTAGCTGACAAAGTCAATGACTATGTGACAACCCCCAGTCTGTTACAGTGCAAAGGAAAATGGATAAATTTAAACTATCTTCAGAACAAGTTAGTTTCTTAGCTTGTCAAGGATTCAGTCCACTACTAGATAATTTTTGTGTTAAGTGTATTTAAAAGATATTCTTCCAGTTTTAACGATCCAATGTTATTCCCTCAAAGTACTGACAACAGAAGTAGCAGTTCTCAGTCCATTGGTGCCTATTTTTGGCTCTTGGCTGTCCAGGCCTGGCAGCCCTGCCTGCTAAATGGTGAATGCTTTCACTGGGATTTACCGGATTAAACCTGCAAGGACGCAAAGAAGCAATCAAAAGATTTGTAAGGCATTGGCTGTGGCTTTTTATTTGTTTGCAGTCCTCTCCTCTTTCGGTCTATCACTTCAAGACCTGTGCCGTAGTTGGAAATGGAGGCATCCTGAAAAATTCCAGCTGCGGAGCTGAAATCGATCGTTCTGACTTTGTGTTTAGGTAAGAGCAGCTTCATCTTACTGAAGGGTGTCCAATGCTTCTAAAAACTTGTCAAGCTTGGAAGCATGCCAATGCCACTTTGTAACAATGAGGAAGGACCTTGACAATTCTTTGTTTCTGCCTCTCTAAGAATAGTCCTTCTGTTTTGGAGATTTCAGAACACCACTTCCTAAGTAAAGAGAGGACTATGTAGATACATGTATGATCTATGATTGCAAAGATAGCTTGCCAGTGATGTGAAATGTGACTGAGAACCGAAAATTTCTGCTCATTTAGGAGAGAGAACTTTTTTTTTTTTTTTTTTTTTTTAATCAGGAGAAGAGAATAAAGAAAACTCTGAAATTGAAATAAGAAAGACTGGTATTATGTCACATGTTTACCTTTACCTCTGGTTTAACAAAGGGTTTACTTAGCCTTCAGTTGGCTCACTAATGCAGTTATTTAACTGCCATGGTATTTGTCTCACTTTCTGTTAGCCAGCTAAAAAATTAGGCATCTAATTTAAGTAGTTTTTTCCAGCTCCCTCCATAGATTGTGGAGAAATCCAGGCATACTCAGAGCATAATTTGGCTCACTCTCTCAGTACACGACTCATAGTTTGTAGTTCCTGCAATGGAACAGAATAACCAAGTGAATGTTGTTCTCTCAGTGATGTCCAGTCACACAGTCTGCTGGATTTCATTTACTTTCCTGCTTTTGACTAATATTTGGGCTTTTCCAGTCAGATAACTGTCTTAATAAAAGTGGGAAATCTGCATATTAAGATGCTAAACTCACTAAATGACTGACTTTAAAAAAATGCTTTCTTTACATGTTACAGAAACCACTGTTTCTGCAGTTGGGCAGGTTATGCTGTTGTTGTCTCATGGAACAGCTGTCAACATTGCTGTGCAAGCTCAGGGACTGGTATCAATCAGACTGGTTTTAAGCAGAAAATAATAGAAGACTTTCAGAAGAAATGCATTGTTTAGGCAAGAGATGCAGTATTTCCTAGCAGCAAACACAGGGCATTCATAGACTGGCTCGTTCTGGTATTTTAACTTTACTCCTGATTTGTGAGATGATTTATGAAAATGAGCTCTCTGTGCCCTATTTTAACCATCTGTACAGTAGATTAAATATTTCTACTAGAAGTGCTGTAAGCCTTATTTAATATTTGTAAAGTGCTTAGAGATCCCTGGGAGCTGACATGAAAGTGTCATTGCACAAGAGAGGAATTTGCAAATAATAACTGTAAAGCATTTTGATGAGCACCTGTTTAAGTAAATGTTTCTCAATTTCAGGTGTAACCTCCCTCCAACCACGGGAAGCATTAGCAAAGATGTTGGCAATAAAACAAACCTTGTGACTGTTAATCCGAGTATCATAGCTCAGAAGTAAGTACTACTGCAAATCTATTTCTGTGCAATATTGTATAATTGTTTGACATGATTTAGATTTTGTTGGAAATCCATTGGGATACCAGCATAGAGAGCAGTGCATGCAGATTACTTCATTAAGATTTAGTTCCCATGTAAACTATGTACCAGTCTAAATAGAAATTTGTTAAAACTGGCCTTTTTTGTAGCAGAAGAGTCAGCAATACTCAGATTAGCAAGTGCCTTGATTGGCACCAGTCCACAATTTATGACAAAGTAAAATTGATGATTATAAGCCCAAGCCTCTTCATTCCCCCCCCCCCAAACCCTCATGACCCCAGCATAAGAAAGGAATTGTAATCATAAATCAGGAAAGCTTGGAAATGTGTGTCCAACTCTATCAGTAGAACTGCAAGCACACGTTCTTAGGTAATGTTCTTAGAGGCTGTTCTGATGAAGGCTGTTTCCTGAATGGAGGCCCAATTTCTGTAATCCATTTTCTCAATCCATATGAAAGCTGCTCACACACTTTTTCCTCAGGAAAGTTTTTTTTTTTCACATTCTTGATGAAAAGAAAATCTAATAAGGCCAGGCTGACTAATCTGACATCTTCAGCATGCTGGAGCTGCAGCTTATCTATGAAAAAGACTGCTGTGGCATGTTATTTACTGCTTACTGATCTTACTGTATCTTATTGTCTGTCATATCTGTGTTTGTCAAATAGACAACATCAGACAAAGCTTTTTTTTTTTTCCCTTTAAAGGAAGAAGGGAAAAGTACAGTGAGCATAGAAATGTCTAACAGGCATTTGTCATTGATTCAAGGATAGAACTGGCTTTTTTGCAAATGGGTACTAACTACCTTGATGCTTACCCAGCCCTTTTTGACTTTAAAAAAAATTAATTATCGCTTCCCCAATAATAGATTTAGCTCACTGCTGTTAGTTGGGCTACACAAGAACATGAGGAAGGAAAATTTTGTCCAGTGATTCAGCACCTGATGCACGATTTGTCTGGGCTTGATCAAAGTGTTCTGCCACAACTGCACTCATTTTTTAGCCAAGTTAAGCCACACCAGGGTTAATAGGAGCTACACTGAAGGCAATAGGAGCTATACCTGTGTGAAGACAAAGTGAGATTATGAGAGCACTTTAGCATTTTAAAGAAATAATTATTTAAATATTCCGAGAACACTGTAAATGCTTTTGAAGGAGGAACGGGAAGCAACTTGGCACCAGAACTAAGTTTGTTTCTTCTCTGAGAAGACCTGTTCTGACTTCATTAACTTTAGTTTCTAATTCTGTGTTTGGGTACTGGCTAGTCTGAATGTTATTATTGTTAAGGTTAATCAGCTTTTGAACTGTGTCCGTCAGGGTGTACAAAGTAGGTGAGCTCTCTTGGAGGAAAGAAGCACAGTTCTTATGGGTCCTAATGGAGCTGGGCTATACTGCACCTTACAGGGCTGGAAAGGAAAACAAGACAAGGTTGAGTTCTTCAGACTTCTAGCTAAGGAAGAACAGAGATCTGAATTCTGTCCTGAAGGCTCATTATGTACTTTACACTGAGTAGAAACAGAGAAAATTCTTGGAGTAGAGGCCAGAAGTTCACCCTTCAACCACTCTTCCTAGACATAGGCTCAGGCATTGCTTGCTTGTTTTGGCTGTGTTATTCTTGCATGCACAGGGGCCCAGGGTCTACAGGAGGGGCTGAGTCTCTCTCATTCATTTTGTTTCAGAGTCTGGTGGTAATGGCACTTTTCTGGGAAGCAGAAGCTGTAAGTTTAAACCCCTTCAGGATGAGAAGGGGTGTGTCACTCCTTGCATGAGTTCAGTTGTGCAAGAGGTAGCTAATAACTCCTCCATGAGGGTTTTGAATGGAAATGGCAGTGGCTGCTGTCCTTTCTCTTGAAGTGCTGCATGAGAAGAGGGTTTGAACCTACTCAAGTTGTGAAGAGAAATGAAACTCATATATGCAAGTGCAGTTGTGCTGTTTTGGTCTGTAATATTTATATCAATAGTACATTCTATTCATTCTTTTCCTAAAATGTTGTACTTTGCAGGTACAACAAATTAAATGAAAAGAAGACAGAATTTCTGGAGAACATTGCTGTCTATGGAGATGCTTTCCTTTTATTGCCAGCATTTTCCTTCAGAAGCAACACAGCCACTTCTTTTAAAGTATATCACACTCTGCAAGAATTCAAAGCAACCCAAAGGGCAATATTTTTTCACCCCGCTTACCTGAAAAGCCTTGCCCAGTTCTGGAGAACTAAGGGTGTGAAAGCCTATCGGTTGTCATCTGGTTTTATGATCACTAGTGCTGCTCTTGAGCTGTGTGAGAATGTGAAGCTCTATGGCTTCTGGCCTTTCTCAAAATCCACAGAGAAGATGCCAATCAGCCACCATTATTACGACAACCAGCTGCCTAAACCAGGTTTCCATGCAATGCCCAAAGAATACAACCAGATCCTTCAGCTTCACAGCAAAGGCATTTTGAAGTTGCAGTTTGGTAAATGTGAGTCAGACTAAAAAGGTAGGTCATGTTCTTATCACATAAAATGTCTTTATTTAAGTAATGTGTCAAGGGAAAATTGTTTTGAGAACAGTGTGGGTCTGTTTGTCCTTAGAGAGACATTTCTACCTTACACTCAGTGAAAGTTGTGTTCATAAATAAGTGAAAGGTTGGAGTTTTCTGAATAAATATAATGTACCACAAAGTTGAGAAATGTTTTCTAATTGTGAACTTTAAATAGGGAGCATAGCTAGGTACACATTATCAGCATAATTCACAGCCAATCAGTAGTGCCTCCTTATCTCAGATATATGTCTCTACTAACCTATGTTTGGTTTGGTATCAATTACCATAAACCAGCCTCCTTTGTGAATTGCTTTATTAAAGGCAGTCACATACTGTGATCTACAAGAGAAAACACCTAATCCTGACACTGCCTTTCCAGATGTATACAGAGGCCAAAATAATGATTAAGATTGCCCCATGACGGATTAGCATGCAGAGGTGCCCTTGTTCTCATTAAGTAAAGATAAGTTTAGAGAAGTATTTTCTCTTAGCCCTGGGCTGCTGAACAGCAGGTGGACAGCAGTGAGGAAGCTGCCATACACTACAGCAGATTTTGCTGAGGATTTGAACTCGAGGCAGGTCGGAATCTGGGAGTTACAAATATCAAATGAAGTGTCATTCCCTTTCCTCTGTCCTTCCTAACTGTCCCATCCTGCTTGGACCTCTACCTTCTGTTTATTGCCTCTGAAAAATGCAGAGTCTGGTGTCTGACCTTGAGCCACTTTGCCTTGTACAGATTACAGATGACTTTGAAAAGATTTGTCTGCATGTTTTCAATCTTGATTTGCCCTGTTGACAAAATAAGACCAATTTCTATGAATACTTCATCTTTTAAGCTAACTCAGAAATTCCCTAACTCACAATAATATTGTCAGATTTGCCTTTCGTAGAACTCTGTTTTTCCAGGGGCTTCAAGTTAATATAAGTGAAATTCACGGTGGAACTAACATTGTATACAATATGCTTTAACTGGACTGATGCAGTCTCATGACTGTATTACTCAAATTAAATGCATCAAAATAACATCGGCTTGTTCAAGTCAGAAATTTTAAGGTCAAAAGCTTAGTGCTTTTCTTCTGGCTAGATTGTGAAATGTATTTTAAAATATCCTTTGATGGTATTTAGAAAACACGCTATCAAAGATACATTCACACTTGATTCATCATCAGAGACTTCTAAATTTTAAACTGGCAGATTGTTAGTACCAAGAAGACGCAGTTTTACTCAGTTTCAGTTTATTTGAAGAAATAGAAAAATAAACTGCTTTCATATATTATTTGAATAATATAAAACATGTGAGAAGGGACCTAGAAGCCATCTAGTGAATCCATTCTCCTAGTCCATGGCAGGAGATTACCTAGGAGGAGGTGTATGTATATGCAGTTTCTTGTAGCTAAGGTATGCTTTTTTGCTTGTAAAAAGTTGCAGCATATTGGAAAGGTTAAGAAATACATAATGTATTTTTCTTAGTGGCTAAGCTGTTTATACCCTGCAGTTTCCATTGTATTTATTCTTCCTATAATATAAATCGCTGGAGACATACCATGTAATTTTAATTGTAGTAACTACAGCAGCTAAGGAAATGAAAGGCAGCTCTTTATGAATATTTAATCTAGAGAGAAGCACATAGAAACCACAAAAATGTTTAAGCATCTGGATGGGTTAATTAAATGCTGTCCATGCTTGACAGACTGAAAATCACTTCTGTGGCCAAATTTGCAAAATAGGCTGTAAAGAAAAAAACAACCAGAAGGATAAGTTGTGCTGCCCTAATTTACACTTATATTTACAAATAGAAAAGTTAGCCCTTTAAAAGCAAATAAATTAAATGCTTTCAGTATGAGCCACCATTCTGCTACTATTATCAGCTATTAGAGATAATTGAAATTCTATGAGTATATTTCACTAAAGATGACCTTTTCTAAAAACTGAACAATCTCCTTTCTCTTTTCAATTTCCCTCTTATGGTATTCTCCCTGCTCTATGCTCTTCCCTGTTAGTGGGTAGCTGAAGCTTCCTTACACCGCTGGGTGCCCACAGAAGCCTCAGGCAGAACTTCCCTCACACATTCCTGGGCCACAAAAGTTTGCTCCTGTAAATGAGAAGTGAAGCAACATGTTCTGCAGCAAGCAGCTATATTGCAAGCAGGTAGCAGGTTCTGGAACAGTATAGGGAGAGCTTGACTGCATCCCAGTGAGTCATTTTGGCAGTATTGCTCCTGAGCACCATCCTTGCCATTGTAAAGGTGAACTTTTCTTATTGTATAGAGAGAATTGTCAGATATGAGAGCCCTGTAGAGCTGGTGCTGAACAATGTGGGAAACTCCATCTGCCTTAATATCCGCTCCTGCACCTTTATGATTATGCTCAACAGACAAGTACATGTCTTCACTAAAGTAGATGCGTGCCTGTCACAGATGGTAAATGGAAAATGAGGTATCAACAAGATCTTGCACTGTAATTGAAATAATGATCTTTATTATTTTGTATTAAATTACCAAATAACTTTTCGTATGGCCCTGCAGCTGAAGGAAGTCTTGTTTGTTTGTTGATTTAACCTGATAGGCCTGAAGGGCATGTCATTAGCTTCAAGTAAACGTATGTTCGAGGAGTGGAAATGGCCTGGTTCATATCTAAAAATAGACAGAAAAATCTGATTAGAAAAATTGTCAGGTGATAAATTACTCAGACTGGCAAAAATTTGATTGTCTAGAAGCCTGGTTAAAATGCAAGTTCTGTCTGACCAAGAATCCATCAGGTTTTCTGTTTGCTAGAAAGAGACAGCACAGCAGATTAATGTGTGTTGCTTTGACATACAACACAGTAACATTAAGCAGCTGCTCACGGGAGTCAGTCAACAGAAGAAAACATAGAAAGAATGAACGAAACTGAGAATCTCTGAGCTTGGGAAAGAGAATAGTGCTCAGTCATCCGAGCAGAAGGACTGAAGGAGGAGAGCTTGAGCCAGGGGTGTGCTGGTGGCTAGGGAGTAAGAACTGCTGAACCTTCAGCTAAGTGTGAGTGTATCTTACCTGGAAAGTAAAAATTGGGATTGGGCTTTTTCATTCCAACCAGATGATTAAAAGCCATCTGTTCCTGACAGAGAGAAGAGCAGTGTAGCCCTCCACTCAGGGTGGAGCTAGCAGAGCACGTCCTGTAAAACAGGGGGCTGCCTGCTTATTTGCTCAACAATTTGCTTAACATCAAAGAGAATTATTTTGTTCCAAACTCTGACAGCATGTGATCTTTTTTTAATCTCAAAAGTTGGTGCAATACAAATAAGTGATAAATACTGTTATAAATAACCTATTTATAACAGTAGGATACCAACATGAGCTTAAATTCCACTGAAACTCTTTTATGCTTGTGGTGACTCAGTGTAGCTAGAGAAATACGAACTGCCCCACAATTCACTTTTAATTACCTTGAGAAAAATGATACCACATTTGAAAATAAGGACACCTCTGGATTCCTGTCAGGCAGCCAAATTTCAGGCTATCCTTGACTTGGGCAAATATCCAGCATGGAATTATTAGATGTATACAACACTAAAAGAAAAGTCTTCCGCTTTAATACTCATGCGGTAGGGTTTTTAACCACACACTTTGCTCACGTGTTCAGTCACTAGATAAGTATAATCATTAAGAATAGTGTCAGTAGTGAAACAAGTGGAAATAAGTTGCTTCTGGTTTAGTTAAAACCTGCCAGCATAAAAAAATACAGATTAAATCAAATTAGTATTTATGTTAGATTTCAAATCAAATGAAAAGGTATTTACAGATCTAGAAGAGTTTGGTTTGGTTTGGTTTGGTTTTTCCACAGAAGAACTAGCCTGTTGAAGAAACAGAAAAATTTAAATCTCTAACTCTTTCAAAATACGATTAAGATAATATAATTTAAAACATATCCATATTCAGATTGGCAGTGGATGTGTCCCGTGGAGATACTGATTAGCCTTGGTTAGCTTAGGAAGCCTGTAGAGGGTGGTGCAGGTGGGGTGTGTGAGCAGTTCTGGGGGTATTCAGATGAAGGAGTCCTCCTTTAGAAAGAGCAGATGCTCAAGCTAGATCAGGCATTAGCAGTTCAGCTTACCCAGGAGAATTTTGTGGGCCTATGATATTGTATTATAAATGTCACAGACTCCCAGTCTGAAATAAGGATAAAAAAACAGATGCAGGTGAAATGCATGCACAGGCGACGAAGCTGTTGGCTTATTTTGAATATAGCAAGCAGTTTTCCTACTATACAAGAAATATCAATAACATATTTTATTGTTTTAATTCCAGGGTGATGATCCTAAGGAGACAATTTGTGTGTATGTCAGCAGTTCGGTGTTGGATTTGATCTGATGTGATTTTGTGAGCATTAAACTGCGTTAGTACAATAGAGAAATATTTTACACTTGGGGAGAAAAGGAAGTGATTTTTTTCACAGTGACTGCTACATTTCTGATTTTTCAGTAATCATTTTTTAAAACACAATATAACATTATTTGAGAAATTCTGAAACTCCTGGCTATTGGTTTAATTGTAGCAAAGCACAATCTCGAGATGGTGGCAATATGTGACATTCATTATGTTTTGCTTCTTGAAGTATCATTAAAATATTTTAAAATAAGATCTCTGGTTTTGTTAATATCACGCAATACAGGCAGTTGTCTCTGTATGGTAGCTTCATGAGCTGGCAGTGAACATTTTCAATTAAGAACTTGATCCTGTAAACACTAGCATTTTTCTGTATGAGAAAGGTGATGAGAAGAGCTACAGAGGAGAAATTCATTCAGAACCATGTAATTCTTAGTTTGTCCCAGGGTGCACAAATGAGAAAAATCCCTCAGGTTAGAGATAGTCAAGTGGTTTATGGGCTTTCATTTTGTGAGCAATAGATAATGCTGTGGATTTAATGGGCTTTCATTTTGTGGGCAATAGATAATGCTGTGGATTTAATGGGATCACTCATGTGAATTATGTTAATTTTGTGAACAAGGGTTTGAAGGACCACAGCTGTATAATTGTTTTTAAACCTTTCTTCTTCTTTGTGTTCCTGTCTGAGGTCCAGTTCAGAGGATGAGGACAATAAACTAGGTTCCATGCTGCAATCCCCAGAGTCCTGATGGGGCATGACTTTGCACACATTCCTGCAATCCCAGCTCTGTATCTCAGCTGACATAAGAGAGGGACCATTCATTAGATAAACGATAGGTACCAAACCTACCGTTTCTTCTATTTCTTTTTCACCTAGCATAGCTCATATCAATATATGACTACAGAGAAGGAAACTGCACTAAGCATTAGTATAAGAATGTTTCCTTTGCAACCAACCCCAAGCTCTTCTTCTATACCAGAGAGAAGAACTTGGAGTCACTTAATTTAAAACCCATGCAGTTCTTGTGCTTTAAGTTTCCATATGGTCCAGGAATACCTGGAGCATCCTGCAACAAGAGAAAGTGAAATACCAGCCCAATGGAAAGAATCCCATTAACATTTAGAGGAGCTACAACAAGGAGTTGTTGCCCTAGCTATGGCTGCTTGTATGTTATTGCTTATATGTTTTACTGCAGGAGAAGAAACAAAAACAAGAACCCCAACAACAACAATTTTTTAATAACCAGTTTCTGTTGGAAGGTCTCAGTGGCTTTTCTGAGAGTCTATTGAATGATCAGTTCATAGATAGAGTGTCCTTCTTTTACAGTCAGATACCATCGGGTATTTTGTTTACTAAGATTCCTTTTGCCACTGTAGCATTAAATCCCCAATCAACTGATTTAAAGAGCATTCAATATTCGACTCATTGAGGCTTATATCTGCAAAAAAAGTCCTACTTAAATGAATTAAACCTTATAAAATAAGTTTCAAAAAAACTTTTGAAGGGATACTTCATAAAAGCATTTCTATATTGATGTAATATTTGAAAGCTTACCTTGCAGCAGTATTAGAATCAATCATTAGGGTTCCAGGTCTGTTAGTTGAGACACATTCAGTATCTTGATCCATTTCCAAGAAAATGGTAGCAGATTCCAATACTACTCCTACTCAAGCAGAAGTGTCCATAAATTCTGGCTACATATATCAGCAATACAGTAAATTTTTGAAAATAAGGTTTTTTAAAAATAGATAGTACTTTGGAGCATTGAATGACACCACTAATACGCGAGTGGACCTGTGAATATCAGTAGGGCTTTTAACAGAAACAAGTACATTAGAACTGAGTCGATGGGTGCATCTGTGTTACCAGCTGGCAACTGAAAGAGGCGAGCACAACAGTTTGATTTACTGTGATCTGTTATGGTTCCAGCACCACAACTTCACATTTTGTCTTCGCAACTAGTGAAAATTGTGCCAGTTTCTGGCCACAGGCATCTGCTGCTCTTGTGCAGAGAGCTGGCTGCTGCAAGACCCTGCATCCGTGTTACAAGTGTTATGGATGACTGCCTACTGCAAGAGCCTAGTTGTAGCTCCAAGACACACTTGCTCCCAAAAGAGCTCCTCCTATGTCATAAATCACTCATGCAGACTGTCCCTGAGTGTTTGTAGCTGGAGGCTGTGCAAATTGATGTAGTTGTCCTTTGGGTGATGCAAACAGCCTAGGTTGTGGAGAAACACGTCGTATTTCATCCAGAGAGACAAAGACGCACCCGTGTTCAGGCAAGGACTCTAACTTACTCCAGTCTAGTGTAGTGCGATGAGATGATCTTGGCTGTGTAGCAGCTACATGGTCTGACTTGGAAAAATCTTTTAGAGATTGAGAGGATCTTGCATTGTATCCAGAACAATTGCAAGTGCTTTGTGTGTAGGTAAGGATGATGCAAAGGGTATCGTTCATTGCTCAGATTAAATTCAATTAATTAATTACTCAGCATGAGTAAAGTGGCAAAACCTGGTTGTGTGTAAATAGAAAATGTGGAGAGGAGAAAAATTTATTAGCAGTGGAGAAGCAACTTTTTTTCAAAAGCATTTGTTAGTTAGCACTGTATTGCATTATGTCAGTGAATGAATGTATACACTGTACCAAGACATACCATAAAGAGATGAAGTTGCTGTGTGTCTGGACTATTTCTATGCAGTTATGTTATTTATAATATACATGTATTAGTAACTGGAAAGGTTATTGGGGAGGTTTTGAGAGAGGTTTAGCTGAAAAGAAGAAACCTATCCTAGTTTCCTTGATGAAAATAGGTCTTAACTGAAGGAGTGTGATGTGGCGCTCACAACTGAGAGCAAATGGAAAGCTCTGTAACATGGACAGACACTTTGACTTTTTAACGCTGTTTTAGCGAAGTTTAAACTTGCCTTTGACCTGAAGACCTGATCCTTAATGCTCTCAGAGCTCTCAGTGATTTGTGTGGAGCACAGGACTGACAAGAAATGCATCAAGGAATTGTTGACCTTTCCTACCCTTTCCTGCAAATACTCTTAACTCCTCGTAGAATAAAAATACACTCTATTAGACTTTAGATTAGGAACCTATTTTTAATGTAGCTTTCTCAGGCCTTACTCTAGACATGAAGTTATTAGGAGATGTTAGTTGCATCCACTTCACAGGAGCGCAGACCTTGTAGTCGGCTTTATTATAGCTATTGCTGATATGTGCTTGGTGGCTAGGTTGTCTTAATTTGTGCACAGGCTGGGCAAGCTAATAGTGGTGTTTCTGTGTGACAGGATAGTTAGATTGATCAAGACTTGCTGAAGTACACTCACTGTGGGAAGGGAGGTTTTCTCGGTTAGCCAAATAAATAATTTCTCGTTTATTTTCCATCTGTGATTACTCATTTATTTTATATCTGTGCCAAGTTAATGACGAATAAATGGGTTTTGTACCTGGCTGAGAATGTTTATGACACTTTTGCAAGACTGACACAAGTACAGTTTTGATTAAGAATTCTTGACCAAAGGTTAGAAAGGGCTTTTGAGTTCCTTCTACTTCACATGAAGAATAATCACTTTTAGGGTTTGTGGGCCTCCAATGCTGTCACATGCTGTGGAATGAATATTGAGATTAAATAGTTTTCTAAAGATAGAAACACTGACAATGTGCTAATAGTTCCACTGTATCTTTGCAGAAGCTGACAGTGTCCTTGCATATGACTGCTTCACAGCATCATTAGATTAAAGCCTGCTTGGCTGCTTTTATTTCTTTTTCTCCTCTGAATCTTTAATGTTGCATCTTCCTTTAGGACCTAGTGCTGCCTTGAGTTGGTTATTTCTCTTCCCCCTGTGAGGCGTTATGTAGTGCTGTTTGGTGTCTATTGGGGAGTTTGTAAGGCTGTGAATCAAACGCTGCTATGCCTGCAGCATAGCAAAACATACTTTAAATGGCTGGGTTTACATCTCAAGGAAGGTAGCATGGTAGGACATTCACATTGCCTAACTGGAGGTGCTGAGTTTGGGCTGTAGCTCCGCAGTGACTTAAGCTGTAATGACTGGCTAGACAGTCCTGTTCTCATTCTTGCACTGTACCCCTTCCTTCATGCCATATCTGGCTCCTATCTGATCCTGCACTGAGCTGTTTTGGGATACTGAGCTGGCAAAAAACCTAATGTGGCAACAAAAAGAGAAAATTGGTTAATGCCAGCAGAGCCAGGGGAAATTCAGAGTCAAAGCAAAGGAGGGGTGAGACCATGCAGGTGGGACCATGGGGACACAACAGGGGCCATTTGCTATCTGACGGCTGTTGGACAGGCCCAGTGGTCCCCTGAAACCTTGGTCAAGCCAGGAAGGTGACATCTCTGGAGGCATCCCTGGTCAGAGAGGAGAGATGGGCTCCTGCAAGGGGGGATTGCAGCATGGTGGCTGCTCTGGTGGGCAGGACCATGTCTCTCCCCATGGTGACAGCAGGCATGTAAGGACTCTAGGCATTTCTCCCCCTTCTCTTTCCCATTACAGTAATTTTTAAAAGCTGTTCACCACCAGCAGGCTCAGAAATGATAGCTATAAAAAAACCTCTTTGACTGTAAATACTATTTCTCAGTTCACTGACAGTAAACTTGCATAAACTTGCTCGTTATTCACTGCGCCTGTGCTTTCAGTGTCTGCTGATCCCAGCATCTCAAACAGCATCTGCAGAGAACAGAGCTGTGCAAGCTCTGGCAGTTTTGAGACCAGTTAATCTCACTTTGATTCTCTTTCCTTTGTACAGTAGTGAGATGTCTGACATATTACCATGCTTGAGTCAAGATGAAATTCTCTGTCTTGTGTGATTCAGGAAAAGAAACTAAATGATCTAGGTGACCTAGCACCTTCTGTGGGCTCCCCAAATTACAAGCAAAATATTTCTGTTGTTATGTTTTATTTGATTTTTATCCAGTGCAGGTATCTGGATCAGTTAGTTGGTCTGGATTCATTGATCAATGAGACCTTGAGCCTGCACAGACTCCATGGTGGAGCTACAGGCTGACATGGTAATCTAGGTTTAAAAGATGTTTGGCCTGGAGATCTTTTTGTTTCCTGTCACTTGCTCTCATGTGACAGTTCTGTAGAAAGAGGTCCTGAACATCCATGCAGTAGCTCTTCCAGGGACTCTCGGTTCCACAAAGCACATGTCCACTTGTGTACAGGAGTCTGTGTGAGATCAAGCCCAAGGAATGTTCTGTGGAGTGCTTTATTCTGAAGCAGCTTTATTTCAAACAGCTGATAGCCACTTATTGCATGCCTTGAAGCAGTAGACTTCTTACACATGAGCTTGTTAGTTAAGTGTATCTAGGTCAAAATATCACAGCCAGGTAATCCTTCATCTTGTGGTACTTCAGCAGCTGAATTCTTTCATCTTTAGGTCTGCTGCCCAAGAATGGTGACAAAGGGATGTGTATTTACTATATAAAGCCTGGCTCTCTTGATTTTTAATTCTGCCATTTTAGGCAGGAACATCATCTTTCTATGAGTTTCTGGACAGCCAGGTTTCAAAGGCTGATGATCTCTGAGTACTCTGGAGAAATCATTTGGGCCTTTCAGCTACAATGCACAATGAGTGGACAAATTTGTATTTATTAAGCTTTGTTCTAGATTTTCATAAAATATTTCTTAATTGGCTCTAAATTATCTTAATGGTCAAGTAGAACATGAAACGGTCTGTAGCATGACACTAAACAAAGGACCTATTGCTGTTATTTAGTGGTTTCCTTTCATGAAGTTGCATTTTGGAATATCTTCCTATTCTGGGAACACCAGCTCATCAGGGGACTGACCCTGGGTTACTGTGCACTGGTCCAGCTGGGGTAGCAGCCTGTCACAATGCTTTCGGTGCTGAGCAAATTCAAGCAATACAACAAGAGCTTAACACGATGGGAATACACCAGCTTGGCTTTGCCGTAGACCGAGGGGTAAACTTAGTACTGTGATGTGTGTTAATTGACTGAGCTCACATCCCTCTGTGTGAGCAATAACTGCTGTTCAGTGACAGGTGTTGGCAAATACTGGTTTAAGGATGAAGACAGTCTGGCTGTTAAATACAAGGAGTGGCATCTTCATGTTGCCATCAAATAAACAGTCAAATCTGTCTTTTGCTAAATCCTGATGTAGCTTCAGCAATACATCAGTGTTTGTTGCTGCACCTAGTACTTCTGTGCTTGTCTTTTTTTAATCCCTCTTTTCTCCAGTGAGGGAGAAAACTCAGACAATTGCATGATAGAAGTATTTAAAGATCCCACCATGAATTCGTGGTATCAGGGCAAGAGGCCATCGGAATAAATCATGCTAATGGTTGTGACAGGATAGTCTAGCCTAAGACAATATTGCCGATTTTAAATTCCTCACTATTCACTTTATTCCCTGATGAGAGGAGATTCTTCACAGCAAGTCTCTAGTTCAGCAACCTGCTATGCTTCTCAGATGTTGACGCAGCTGTGAGGTGATTCCCTAAAAACTCCTTCTTGGTGTATTTATTGTTAGTGCTTATGGTACAAGCCCATTCTTAAATTCTTGTGAAACTGAAGTATAACATCTGACATTTCTGCATGTTTTATATGCACATTTTATATGGTAGCTTCATATGCATTCTATATGTTAATATTCTTAATATTATTTTCTTTGACTATCCAATTAAAATAATTTAAAATATTCATTATATTTTATGCTACAAGAGTAAACGGTGGAGGAAGTTACATAAAAATCAGTGATACAACCCAAGATAAGTGTGTCTGACTTATTTCTAGAAGGGTATTTTCGTTAGTCATTTGGACACTTGCTTCTTAGATTTACTTTTCTAAGGTAGGTCTGAGAGGCCACCTCTGATTCTGATTTAGTTCAAGATCTGCAAGTGAGAAGATAGGCAAATTGAGAGGTTCTACAGAAGGCTGCTCCTAAGGGATGGCAAATGTGTGGTCTTTCCAGAGATTGTTCCATGTGTCAAAATGTAATTCCATAAAGTTTCCATGATAGCTTTTGCCCGGAGGTTTCATTGTCTCTTATAATGTGTATTGTTTGCATTCATTTTGGTTCCATTCTTTTCAATGCAACTGTTGAAGCAGAGTTTATCCCCCTTGGAGCTGGTATAATTGTGCTCCTCCACATGCGCCAAGCTCTGTGTGAAGCTGCTAGTGTAGGCTCTGCTACTGCTGTCTCCAGAAAGGTTCTCTCGAATTCTTTCACTGCTGAACTTACTTATATTTTCAGATGTGAACTTGGTATTGTCTGAGTAGAATGTGTGCAGTGTAACATAGAAGTGTCTCTGCGCAGAATTTAGGAGGAGGCATGGAAAGCCCCTCAACTCTGTGTGTGCTTTTATTACAGAAAACCAAGATGAATTTGTATTGCTGAGTCATCTGTTATGGCTGATTTAATTTGTACTTTGTTTTCATGTTTTAAGTGCCTAATGATTTTTTGTCAAGGATGCAATGGTTTCACTGTTATAATGCATATTTAGAATTCTGCACTTGTTACCTGTTCTGTAATAGAATATTTTTGCAATTTATGTTTGGAAATAAAGACTTATTAGGCATAATGGTATTTTTTTTTCTTTTTTGAATTCCTGAGACTTAACAATCAAAAATGTCTTCTGAGGCACAGCAGAATAGAAAATACATTAGTCTGATTCCTCTACAGCAGCGTTAGCAACTGACAGTAGAAAGATGGGCAGTTCCTTAAAATTGTACAAGGAAGAAGGCAAGCTGTGCTTAAAAACAGGTATGGGGGGTTGGGGCATTGGTGCGTGTATAAATATATATTGCTTAAATAACACCTTCTTGTAATTTCAGTATTTTATGTTCTTGTATGGTAACATAGTTAACCATCTTCTTTTGTTACTTCTAATGACTTGAAATTTTTTTTTAATTTTTTACTGATTTAAAATCAAGCAAGAAACAAAAATTGTCACCATTTTCCTATAAAAATAGCTATTAAATTTGAAAACTAACTCTAAAAATAACAGAGAACTTTGGAAACAGTGGTTAATTGAAAATGTTAAAACCACTGATGCAAAAGTTTTTCACACAAAATACTGACCAAGAATACATGTCTAGTAGATGTGTATCTAGTAGACCTCTAGACATGCTTTAGTGGCTTATGTGGTTTTCTTCATGTAGGTTTTGGTGACATACACAGATACTTGTAGTGATCAAATTTCAAACAGATGAATTTCAGAGAAAGCATTTTTCCTCAAAGCATTTACTTTTTATTTTGGGCCAGAAGGTGGCCATGTAGCTTCTGTGCTGCTTACTGTGACTTCTCCAAATCAGGTCAAATATGTACATGCAGCTGTTCTGTGATGTGGACTATTATCCTTTAGGGCCCTCTAGGGACTGAACTGCAATTGCCAAATTTTACTGCAGCCGGAACAGAGGATTAGAACTGAAAGGTTTTATTTGGCCTCAAGGACCACCAAGTGGCTGCTGTCCAACGATTAAGATCTGGATCTTTGTGGCCTCCATCCTTCCCATACTGTGTGAGTCTTTCACAGATGATGAAAACCAATAGGTTTCTTGTGTTTGCTGTGCTGACAGCTGAAATTGTATATATAAGTGATGCAGATGCAAATGTGTCCTCATAATTGGAGCAGTTTCTAAAGCAGAAGTGTGATTTCTGCTGTGGAAAGTAAGTGGCTTACAGTGAGATTAGCCATCTCAAATATTTAGCTGATGAACAACTAAATGTTGAAAGAGCAGCACTGCCTGGTGATTAGAACTGCGTGGTCCAGGTACAGAATAAGTGCTGCCCCAGACGAAGTGTGGCCTTTTGCTCATCCCCTGCTTAGAAGGGGAGCAGCCTGGGAAAAGGTGTCTGCGCAAGAGGACAGCAGGAGGGAAGTGGTTATGTACTGAGGTTAGGCCTGTCAAACAGTTGTGGTGCCTCTGGATCACACCGAGCACAAGCCATCCTCTGAGGGGCAGAGCATTTCCCATGAAGATGGCATTGCTGCTACGGGAAGCACATGGTCACTGGGGGTAGAAGGAATTTTCCCAGTACCAACAAGATTGTCCAAGAGTAGGTTAGGTTTTTCTCCTGCCTCAAAATACTGCTAGTCAAAAAAGTGTCATGTGAAGATGTTACAACATAAGGGCACTGGGTTAGTCCAGTTAATAGTGAATAGGAACGTTAAAGTCTCACAGCCTGTGCAGACTTATAGATGGAACCGTCTGATTAATGGAAACACAATAATGAAAGCATTAGCTCTTAAGTATATAAATGCAGATGAAACTCTTTTATCATGTAAGCTTAAAAAGAGAGAGCCCAGCGAGGACAGAATTTAAAATGCTGTCTGTTTTCTGCAGCACAGGGAAGCACAGCTGAATTAGTCCAGAAGCTCACGTCCTGCCGCTGTCCTTGGAGGAAGAAATGCTGGATGTGCTGGGAAAAAGAAATGGAATAACTTTCATCTTCGAAATTACTTTACTAGGTATTTCGAGAGACTTTTAGGGCAAAAATATTCCAACTGAATTCTAAGCACAGTACTGCTTGTGAAACTCCAAACCTGCAGGGGTGTTAGTTCTTTCTTTTTAGCTTTTAATCTCCTTTGTAAGGACAAAAATTGCTCTTGTATTATGTGTGGAGATTTAACAGAGTAAAAACACTCAGTAAAGGTCCCTCAATTTGAACTGGCTGTCTAAAACTGGTACTGTGCTTTGAACAATATGCATTGTGCAAAGCCTGCTGTGAGCCCAGGCAGGACTGTGGGAGTGGGCTGCAGCCCCGTGCTTTACCAGAACACAGGCACAGCTCCTGCCTGGGGGCCTGCCACCAACCCCCACCCCACCCCGCTGGCAGCTGGGTGCCAAGGACTCCTGCCAGGAGGGCAGGAATGATGGATCTGTGTCCCCCTTAGGAGAGGAAGGGGTTGAGCTGGGTGGCATGCTGCCTTGGTAAATGTCCTAAAGCTGGATTGTGATATAAAAGAGGAGCAAAAGGACTCCTACCCTAGCTGGATTTTAAATTAATTGGTTCTACTTTTCCAAAATACAGAGTTGTTATGCTCTCAGGGAAGGTTTCAAAGCTGGATCCAAAAAGACAATGATATTCTCTGAGGCTTTGGGATAGAAGAAACAAGATTTAAGGTACGCTGGATATGCTTGTGCATGTTACATCATGAAGAAATGTTGTGAAGTGTGATTATTAAGTGTCAGAGACAGTGACGTAAAATGGGAGATTAGAGTACTCTGACATCGAATACACAGTTCTCTGTCAAATGCTGGTTTAAAATAACTTGCTTTTAGAAAGCCACACATGTTGAAGCACTGAATGGGCTGGTGTGGGAGGCAGATCTAGCACTGTGACACAGGTCTACTGGTGTCCTTGGGCATCTCACCTTACTGTAAATCTGAGCGAGGTGGCAGAAGGAAATAGCCTGAGATTCATCTCACCAACCACAGTCTCCAATTCAAAGTAGGGTGACTTGTATGCTAAGCTCCATAGTCCATTAGTACAGGATGCTACTTCATATTCAGGGTGACTACTTCATATATAAATTTCTACATCATAAACAGCTACACTAATTAAATCAGACCCATCATTCCTGTCCTACCCTTTCCGTATCTATATTGAATGTTTTTGACAGTGCCTTAGTCATACAGCTCTGAACTCTGTTGGCTCTATTCACTCTGCTCTAATATAGATAATAATTTCTAGGATTAAATCTCTTTTTCTGAATATATTTATCATCTTTCAGAATAGTCTAAAATAGAAACTCTAAGAACATTAACTTAGAGCACTTTTCAAGTTCATCTTCCTTGCAGTCCATTAAAGTGAAGTGACAACCGAAGTGTGACATGAAGTAATTATACTGATTGTGTTGTACGTGCTCCGCGGGAGCTGAATGATTTGCTGAGGATATTAATTTCAAAAGTCAGACAGCAAGAGATCAGCTGAGATGGAAGATCACTGCAAAGTGACCTCAGACCAGGGGAAAAGAAAAAGGAGAGGATTGTGTCCCAGCGCAGGAGTTCAGTGCTGTATAGTCTAGCAGTGAACAGAAGTAGATGCATTTTGACACCAAAGGTGGTGTCCGTGTAACTGAATGCCGGTGTCAGCACTGGAGTTCAAAGTCTTCACTGTAGGTCCCCTTGATGGTCTGTGGAGAGCAATGGAGAATAATTAAATCTGGCTTATTTTAGGTATCTACGTTAGGATGTGATAAATCATGCCCTGGATTCTCTGGTTTATAAGGGAGTGTAAGGTGACTGGCTGGGCCATAATGTCTGTAGTTCAATGATCCACCCTAAGGGACTAATGCAGGTTCAAGCCCAGACTGAGCTACCATCTATCTTATTCATACAAACTCACGGACTTGTCTGTGGCCTGATCATTACACCTGAGGTGTTACATTTTGTGACCTGGGAAATAGTAGCTAAGTAGCAGACTGTATAACATGACTTAGAGATAGCATATAATGAGGTCAAGTTGATAAGGATTCTGTGAAAGAATTTGTACCTTTGCAAATAACAAACATAGTGCACTTAATTTTTTTGATCTCTAAAACAATTTTTCATGGTCACAAGAAATTTATCAGAATGTAAAAGTTCTTTATCAAATGTTCACTATTGAAATCAGTATTGGATTTGTGTGCTTGAACTGTTGTGCAGCCCTGAATAGATATTTTAAAAGTAGTTTAATTTCATCGTACTTTGGCTTTAGCTTAGTTCAGCAATCTAGCAGTGCAAGTAAAACTACTTTCACTTAGGGATTGTCACTGCTTCACTTAGATAAATGCATTAGCAAGACATAAAGTAACTGTGAGTCTGAGGGGCTTTGGGAGCCATGCGCTAGATCTTCCTCTGAGAACCAAAAAGTGGACGTAAGTAATAGCCAGTTCTCGGTGCAATACAACATTAATGAAAAAGATGTCATGAAGCTTGGCTGGGCAGCATATTCCTTGAATCTGGATATCCACACTCAGAGAAAGAGGTAAGCAGTAACAAAAGCATGATTCTGTGCTAACAGGGACCTCAACACTCAATCTATTCCACACACCTTCATCTATCATTTACCAGAAAAAGTGACAAACTAGTTTCACTAAAGTGTTGACTTGGCCAAGAAACAATTTTAGCACATCCAGACCAAAACAAAAGTCTGTATTCATCATGGTCATCACTGCTACTGACTCATAGACTTTGTGGAAAAACACAGGTAGTCCCTGAGTTGAAGGCCTTTGGCTCAAGGGCTCTGAGCACATGTCCAGGGATCCCTGGTCCCTCGTGGTTTTGGCCACTAGGGCTCAGCCTGTACTTAAAGGGAGACTGGCCTATACAGCCTGCCCCAGGTTGACATCTGGGCTGATACAGCAGCCTTCTGTAGTCAGTGGACTATTGGAAAGAGGCCCTTTACCCCATCCACCACAGTGCTGTTACGCCTCCACTGACAATAGAGGGCCAACCTGAAAAGACGTTTAGGGTTTTGACAGCTGTAAATGAGAGGATCACCTTGCTCACTGACTAAGGTTGTATCCTTGCATGGCACCATTATCCGCATCAGTACTCCAGTCCCTGCAACACAGGCACCATCCACAGATATTTTGATTATGCTCTGAACACCCTGAAGTGAGAAGGGATGCTATCCAGTCTGTGGCCATCAGGAATCTTTTCTCTCTTTCCGTTCCACACACCTGGAAATGAGGCAAGACTTTGCAGTTCAGAGTGAAGGATGCCTTTGTGGGGATCTTTTATTTTTTAATCTCCTTGTAGCAAGAGTAGAGAGCAGTCCCTTGATTTTTCTATGGCCAAGCGCTTAGTCCTCTATTGCTCCCTCTTCAAAATGGGGACAGCGACACTTGGTCCTCTCTCAGTAGTGTTATGGGGGTAAATACACTATATCATAGATGATCTATGAGCTCCGTTTATGGTCTGTATGATGGAGACCATGCATGATCTGTAGAAAGACAGCTTCTCCTCTCTCTAAAAGCTGCAGTTTAACTCTTGCTGCTGTTTCATAGCTTGATCTATGCTTGGCTGGCCATGACATAAAGCACAACTGGACAGTTTAGATATATAGTACCATTATTATGAAATTTAAATTACAAAGATAGAAAATCAAAATAACATGGAGAGAATTTAACATTTTTGATCAGCCTTTCTCCTGCACTTTCTTACTATTTAATTTAAACCAGAGCTGTTTCTTTCCTCCTGTAATAATCATCCATCTCCAAGATGTGAAAATACACTTGCAAAACTAATAAATGAGAATCTATTTGCAAAGATATTTATTTATGTGCCTGGCACTTCAGGGTGTTTAGAGGGTAATCTCAAACTGTGAGCTCTGCACTGTGTAAATTTAGAAGCGATTTTTCTAAATGTCAAGTATTTATTACATGAAAAAAACATTTGGAGTGTGGAGCAGGTCCCCAGTGATATATGGTGCATTTGGGGAAGGGCTTCTTGGAAAAACAGAAATAATATTTGAGAGATGAAAAGCAAATCCTCTATTTGAAATTGCTTTGTGTACATGGAAAGGAGATTGAACAAAGGTAGAAGGCCAGCCCAGTACTTTGCTTTGTCTCATGCATAAAATAGTGGTTTTCCAAACCTTTTATAACCAAGCCTATACCAATCTCTTTTGTGGGTCCTGCGGCACTTCTACCACCTCTGGTTAGATTGCTGCTGTCTCCTCCTCACTCCCTTAACAGCTCCAGCAGGCTCTGTTCAGAGCACAGGCAAATAAACCTTGCAGAATTTATTCATGTAGGATTTTGCCCACATATCACCTTAATGTCAACATATCTCAAACTGCAAAGTAGTAAAGTGCACCTCTCCAGCTGGAAGCTGACGATATGGAATGTAAGGGACTGATCTGTTGTGAAAAACCCATGATGCCTGTTGTTTTACTTGGAAGTACCAGCTAGCCTGGAAGCTGCAGCAATGTGATATTCATCACAAACAAGGGAAGGACACAAAAAGTCTAGCATGTTTTAAACCAGGAAGCTTTTTCAGGCTGGTGGGTGCACAAAAGCTGAACGACTTCCCACATTCAGACCCTGCTCTCAGTTTTGGTTGTCTGTAGTCCATGGTGCTATGCAACACAAATCCCCAGCACTCAGTAGACTATTTGATCTGCTTCTGGGGACCTTCTCAGACTTGGTATCACAGACATATACTTCCTTCACCTTGTTCCTCCGATGTCATTAGTGAGGACCTCCCACCTCTTCCATTTGGTACGCTGCTTTATGCTGGCTTTTCAGTTAGTACTGGTTACTCACCTCCCTCTGAACACTGACTTCATGCCTCAACCACTAATATTCTGCAAGAGCAAGATATCTAATATAGTTATTTCTTTGTGTTCAGTCTAGGAATTAAAGTAAGATGCTTTCTATACGTAGTAGCTCTGCAAATGTTTCTCTTCTGCTCTTAAGCCTCTTTTTCTCTTCAGATAAAGCCTCGTGTTCTCATTTTACATTGTATTTAGTGCATATTTGGAAGCTACCATATTACTCCTGACTGCTGTTTTATCTGCAGATGTCTGTGATATTTTAGAGGAGCTAAGGAGAGCCCTGCTCTTTCTGGGCAAAGTGATGCAGACTGAGTTACACACATGCTGCCTCCGTGCTCTACTGAGCACTGTGTGCCTCGCTCCCACCGCATGGGAGGGCAGCAGCACAGGGAGCTAAGGTG